TAGCATCCACACCGACCTTCTTCGGAGTTACCGTGCATTTCACTCCCCCCAATCCTCCTCCTAACCCCTAACCGAGCACTGCTGCCAACCCACACCGACCTTCTTCGGAGTTACCGTGCATTTCACTCCCCCCAATCCTCCTCCTAACCCCGAACCGAGCACTGCTGCCAACCCACACCGACCTTCTTCGGAGTTACCATGCATTGCCCCTTCCCTTTCCATCCCCCCAATCCTCCTCCTAACCCCTAACCGAGCACTGCTGCCAACCCACACCGACCTTCTTCGGAGTTACCATGCATTGCCCCTTCCCTTTCCATCCCCCCAATCCTCCTCCTAACCCCTAACCGAGCACTGCTGGCAGCCCACGCCGAGTGCATTCAGAGTTACCATACATCGCCCCAGTTGCTCTAGCCCTCATCCTAACTGCTAAGCACTGCTGCCATTCCACTCCGAGAACCCTCGGATTTACCATACATTGCCCCCCCCCCACAGTTGCTCTAACCCTCACGCTAACCACTAACCTCACAGCTGCCATTCCACGCCGAGTAATCTCCTTACACTACTAGCGCGTATTTAACCCGAGATAGCGTGTACACACCGCAAAAAAATTTAGCGCGCGCCTGACCCGGACTAGTTTGATGTAGGATCAAAGTTGCAGTCTGTACGGGGTATTAGACGCAATATCTGCCCCCGGACAGGGAAGGGCCTTTCCTTGAACGCGGAGGGACACGAATGTCAGGGGCAGAAACACGGCAGGGCAGTCAACGCAGCGAGACCTAATTTTGAAAATACATGTATATTCGCGTGGACTGAAAACGGGATGCGACGCCTGCAGACGATGCTAGAGACGTGTTAAGTACAGTTAGTTAAGTAAACAGCTGCTGGCTTACTTAGTTACAGATTCACTTGGTTTACTCTAGTTTGAAGTAGGATCATATTTGCAGTCTGTGCAGGGTATTAGACGCACCATCTGTCCCCGGAAAAAGGTCGTGTCTTGGACGCGAGGTCACGAATGTAGGTAGCGGCAGAAACACGACAGGGCGGTCAACCCAGCGAAATCTGAATCTACAAATACATGTGAAATGATTTTGTGGATCCGTTGAGACGATGCGACGGGATGGGTGGCAGCTGCTGGCTAGCTCTGATCTCTCTCATCACACATGAACACACATGAAAACACATGAAAACACATGAAAACACGCATGAAAACAGCGTTCGACAGCGACGAGGCCTCGACACGAACGAAAACGCAAGGTTAATCAAAGACGAAGTAAACCGTGGCGACATTTACGATCCATCTATAAAGGCAGGTCCGGTACATCATCACTGCACGAGCTCTATAGCGCATGTTTCTTTCATCATCTCCACGCGACACTGCTGTACATGTGACAAACGCCTCGAGCGAATGTTGCGCAACTCCCCCCTCCCCCCTCCCCCCTTGTTCGCCTTTCTATCGCTATTGAGAAGCCGAGTCTGCTGCTAACTGCTGTGCTACACGAGGGTGGGTGGATAGATGGAAAGTACTGCGTGTAGTTATGAAATGACACGCGCGCGCGGTATTCGTTTGAAGCCTCACGGATATCAGTGAGGTAATGCATGTGACCAGCAGTGAATGAAAAACAAAGTTGTTGATCCAACACCTGATGTAACACCGTAGAAATATATAGAGACACAGGTATGTGTAACACAGTATTCTTAATATGTGTAACACAGTATTCTTAATATGTGTAACGCAGTATTCTTAATATGTGTAACACAGTATTCTTAATATGTGTAACGCAGTATTCTTAATATGTGTAACGCAGTATTCTTAATATGTGTAACGCAGTATTCTTAATATGTGTAACGCAGTATTCTTAATATGTGTAACCATA